TGCGCAAATGATCTACAAAAGAGTAAGAAAAAAGCTTATGTGAGTTGCTTAGATTACCCATTTCTATTCATTTCTCGCATTCAATATTTATTAAAAGTTTTATAGTAAGATTATTCTTCTCATAGCATTGTATAATGTTTGTGTGTTTGCCTCAAACGAATAGAGTCTCATTCTGTGGCAAGAAGTGCTTGCGCTGCACAGATGCGAAATTTTTTCACTAATTCAGTTTAATGTTTGCTTTTCTTAAATCCATATATGTGTGCATATGCAGCTCAGTTCTAGTGATATATGCATGAAAAGATTTGGCATAATTTGGAGACCATACAAGTTAATTTCATTCTTTTACTTAATTTCATCTTTAAAACTTCCCGTTTATTCGATCGTAGTGTGTTAGGTGCTATCCTATTGTAGATTCGGTTTTGACTTAATGTACAGAACGTATCAAAAATCTAATTTACAGAAAAAAATTGAAATCACTGAAGACTCCGTGGAACACTTCTATAATAGCAATGAAATCAGATTTAACGTGATAGCAAGATTGATTGCTCGTGAAGGAGGAGAAGAAACAGATACTTTGAGGGTAGGTAGGTTTTTTCTCTCAGTTGGAGTTGTTTATGTCCAACCAGAGCTCGATTTCTTATCATGTAAAAGAACGATGTACAGGAGACTTTAACTGACAGTCAAAGTCAGTACAATTTCTGTTTGCTATACACTTGCACGTAATTTCCGCTCAGTTACCTCCTGTTTTATGCATGTGTTGTATTTTTTTTTCAAATTTTGAATGTGCCTTTGCATTATCAATCAAAATTTGTCTGAATAATTTAGGATGTTGTTTGTGATGCTCTACAGGAGGCTAGCCCAAACACAGCTCCTGATGCTGAATCTCGTCGCAGTGAACGCAGTAAGTTTTTTTTTTTCATTTTCATTCTTGAATATCGTGTTTTGCGCACTTACAGCTCTACGATGAGTTTGATTAGTTATCGCATCTGCCCCAATTATTCCCTTTCCTCCTTCTTCCTCCTCCCACCCTCCTCCCCTCTTCTCTTCTCGTTATCCAGGATTAAATATGGCATTACTGACTATTTTCAGATTATAAAGAAGCAATTAGTGCTAGCAATACAACAAACGAAGGACAATTTCCACGGTATATGATTTAATTTTCTTCTTCATTATCATTTAACTAATTAGTATTTATTGTTTTTTGCCTTCATTT